TTGATACTACAGGAAACCCACCCGTGAAAAAGCTTTAAATAATACTGTCTCCAGTGGAATCTAGTATGTAATATAATATATAATATAATATGATAAAAAAATATTTTTTTTAAGGTTTTTGTTCTTTAACTACTAGATTTTATAATGGTATGAATATGATTGGTAATTATGGTCAGATGACTAATAGTCAGCCTTCAAGTAGATTAATATAAATTTTAAACTTTATTTTTTCTTAATACCGGTTTTTTTAGGGGGGTGCACATCAACCGTTAGGGGTGTGCACAAAAAAGTGCACCCCCCTAGGCTAAACCTCCACTACGCGCCTGAGAGTGTACGGTCAACATAAATAAATACAAAATCGTTTACTAAAAGGCCGATTCAAAACATGCTGCACTCATGCACCCAGAGAGTTCTGGTTTCAATATGCACGCAGAGAATACACAACAGCAATAACTTTCCTTGCCTTATTACCTTGAATATTACTAAAAATTGTTTTATAATTGTATATGAGTCTATATATTAGGGTACATTGTAGAATTTTAAATTAATCTTATTGAATAAGATTAAAAATTTCCTATACAAAAACACTTGCTACTATACAGACCAGGGAGTGGGAGGCCATAAGCCATTCCAGTATTTAAATTGAACCGGCGCTACCCCTATCCTTATAGAATAGATATAGTAAGTAATGTATAAACATTTTTAGAAAAAATATTTAATATTTTAATATTTGCAATGTTTTTGGATATGTAGGAAAACACTGCATATCTATTTAAAGATTAAATATTTTCTTTAAAGCATGTTATTACTACTTCTTAATATCTATTTTAACCATTTTGTGGGGCTCACGGCGGCCCTGCAACTCCTCCCTCGCTACCTTGAGAAGAGGAGACGATAGAGTTCTTTGAGTGAAATTCTTTTCATTTCTAAATTTAGTTCCTCTGAGATTTATTTATTCTATCAAACCATTATGTTATTTCTTTTATATCTCTAGAACTAGAATACTTGCAATTTACAACTAGCACGTAAACAAACATTTCAAAGGAAAATAAATGTCCTCACAATTTTTTTTGCTTTGAAAATTGTGATATATTATTTATAAAATGTTGCAAATGTTGATAAATTTTTTTATTGCTAAAATATCAAAAAATTTTATTCTTTGTATTTGTTTTTTTAAGAAGGTTTTTTATTCATTTTCCAAATTTAACCTTTTTTTTGAACCATGCATTCTTCTTTCTCTTTTTATCTTTCCTCCCATACCTCTC